AGGGTTTAGGGTTTAGGGAGGAGTGGGGGGGAGAAGTTCTGAGGCGAGTTCGGTTCAGCCAGGTTTTTTCCCTGCTTTGCTGGAAGGGTGAGGGTGGTCAGGGTGTTCGGTAAAGGGCAATCTAGAATCTAGAGTGTCTGTGGTGTTGAGCGGGTCTACGGGGCTTCGGAAGCGGGTCAGGGTCGAGATTGGGTTTAGAGTTCCGTATCTTGGGTTTTTCGATTTTAGGTTCGCAGTTCAGGGTTTCAATGGTTCTATAGAACTTATAGGTTTAGCGTTACGGGTTTAGGGTTTCAGGTTTACGGGCTCTGTCGGGGTTCAGGGTTTACAGTTTACGATACGCCGCAGGGAGAAGTGGAGGAGGAAAGAAGACAGAGAGGGAGAGAGAAATAGACAGAGAGAGAGAGAGAGAGCGAGCGAGCGAGCGAGCGGGTGAGTAGCGTTCTCAGACCTTAGAGTGAACTCTGAACCTTTGGAATACCAATCTGAAGCCGCATGAAACCTAAAGCCTCTGTGCGTGCGTAGCGCCAGAAGCGCAAGAAACACAAATCAATCCCGCGTCCACGCAAAGCTTCCAGTCAGCAACAGCTAACCTTGAATCCTAAACCCAAAACCGTAAACCCTAAAGCCTCAACCCTACGCCGGAATCCCCCTCCCAGCTTTCAACCGGAAAGAAGCTTCAGCTACATGGCCCGAAAATTCCAAAATCTACACCTTCAAACAACAGGGACCCTAAACCCTAAACCCTAAACCCTAAACCTTCAAAAAACAAGGCCAAGTCTCCAAGGCCTCAACCCTGGCCCCGAAACCCTAACCCCAAGCATCAAAACGGCCCAAAAGCCGCATGTAATAGGGTCTTTGGGCCCAAAAGCCTGCAAATATGAGTCCTTTGAGGCTAAGGGAAAGTCTAAGCTCAAGCCTTCTCGGAAAGGTTGTTTCGAGCTGCAGCTTCCAGCGGGCACCGGGCGTTACCTGGGCGCTGGCTCTCGCTCAGCTATGTCTCGCGCTCTTTGGCTCCACTGCGGAGGGGGCGTCCTTAATGTTGTTGGTTGTCCTGTCCTGTAGGAGTTCACGAATTCTTGCAAAGGTCCTAGGATTCAGTGTCAAGTGGTTCTCGGGTTTCCAAAGGATTGGATTTCGGGCGTTCAAGAGGTTTCGGGTTCCAGGTTCTCAACAAAAAATTCGCAAGTCGCAGGCGCGACGGACGACTGTCGGAACCCTTCAAAAAACATGATTTGTTCAAGCCCAAACTTATCATTTCGCTTGAACTCGACATCCAAACAACACAGTAAGAGCAAGAAGCATTAACAGTAATCATCGTAACAGGGATAGCACTTCAACAGTGGGCTTGTAGTGTGGAAACTCGGTGTTCATAGGGTCTTACGCCGAGTGGTCCCTGAGCCGTGCACCCTAATTGGGTTTAGGGTTCAGGGTTCAGGGCTTAGGGTTTAGGGTTTAGGGTTGGTGCTATGTCGAGTAAGCAACAGTAGACCTTCAAGTTCCAAACCTGACGTCCTCGCGATCCGTAAAAATTTCAACTCTAACTGTAAAGCTTCAACATAGAAGCCTTGTAGAATCCCCTAAACCCTAAACGCTAAACCCTAAACCCTAAACCCTAAACCCTACACCCTACACCCTAAACCCTAAACCCCTAAACCCTCTAGAATTCGTATAAAGCTTCAAGTCCTCGGATATAAGAGCTCGCATAGAAACCTTTATGCCTTGATAGGGCCATGAGCAGTGGACCCTAAACCCT